TTTTTTATACAAAGTTTCCTCTCCTAATTTTGCAATTTCAAAGGTGCTCTTTTTCTTATACATCTTATTCATTTTTTTCTTTTCTTTAATGAATTTCTTGGTTTCCTATTTGGATCATACACTGTGACTTCAATTTATGTATTGTTATTGAATCAAAACTGCATTGATGTATTGTTTAAACCGATATAAGTTTATCAAGGAATAAAATCTCAACTTTTTTATTTTCATTTATAGTGCTGAATATAATTAATTATAAGTTTTGGTTCTTATTTTGAGTTACTTTTATCCAATTGTTCTTATGTTAAAATGCTCCATGAGAATCTGACTACATTATAATCATGGTCATAGGATCTAGTAGAGTCACTATTTTGTAGTTAGATTGTATAGTACCCCTAGGCAAGTGAGCCAACAACCCATCTTAAATTCAACCCATTTCTTGGTGGTGGAAAACCATATGATGATATCATATCCTGCTAAACAACTGAGAGAAACCAATGAAGATAAGGCGACATAAATTCAAGTGGATTCTCTATTATCAATTGGATGATCAAATTAACACATGTAAAATGAATGTAAAAGAAAAAAGGGTTAAGTGGTTGTGTTTCAGCTTATTTGACTAAGGAATGTTGGGCATGCAATACATACTCATTCTTTGTGAAACAAATTCCAAATAAATAAAGACATGCTTTTACTATTGTTCTATTGGTCCATACAACTTCTCGTAAATGGTTTATATTTGTTTATGTGTTGCGTATTTTACAAGATTCTCTAAAGAAAACAAAGATAAATAATTTGCATGTCAGACAAAAAACGATGAAGAATAAATTGAGGAAAGAAATTTGGGAGAGAGTGGGGAGTTCCCAAAAGCTTAATTAGTCAAAAACTTTAGGTTTGTTTTCTTTTTCTTGCATCTTATGTTCTATACAATATTTATAGCTGTCATGCACATAAAGGGAACATCTTTTGAACCAATTGTATTAATTCCTTGAAATTTGTTTTCATATTAAAATACTATATGTGCTCTTAAAAGTACTCTAGTTCTGAATTGATGCTTGTCCTCCTACAGTTATTCTAATGTGCTTTATCTTTCCCATGTCACCCGCAGTATCAAACCATGCACTTAATAGATTGTGGAATAGATGTGGGTGTTTAATTTATTCTCATGGAAATTTGTTTTATTGTTATATTATTTTTCCTTGGGTTGAATGTTCATGTCTTTTATCTCATGTTTGCTTTATTGTTATATTGTTTTATTTACCTAATATATTATAATTTCACTTTGAGTTGTTACACATACAAATACGAAGGAGATTTATTAGATATGACTATATTATGTTTAGAAAATAGGGATCAATGATTTGCATGTCAGACAAAAAATGATAAAAAAAAAAATTTGGAATCAATAATTTTCAATACGCATTGTGTAACTCTTAAGAGAGGCCAACTTGGAATGACTAAAGATAATTGAAAATTGACCAACACAGATTAAGTCGAGTTGGGTTGGTGGTTTAATTAGTCTTATGAACAACCCTAATGGCATTGTTGGGGTTGTCTAGAATAGTTATAAAGTAGAATTAAAATCCATCTTGCAGGTTCTTGTACCCTCTTCCACAAGTATTTATAATTTTCTTGGTTAAAATTCCTCTACAAAATCAATATAGGTTTCCTTTTAAACCTATCATGTACAATACAATATCTATATTCAAGAACCTTCTCATGACAGGTTTCTCTGCCGCCTTTGTACCCTCCACCCTAAACCCCAAAGAGGGCTCAAGCCCCAACCCCATACTCCCCAACGCTTGAATTGGATATACTTAACTGCAACATCCCTTCCCTCTTGAACCAATACGACAAGATCTAAGTTTGCAATGATCACCACAACACCTCCAACAACACCCAATACATAAGCAAAACAACATGGGTTTTTCTACCACTAAGACTTCTATTTTCTCTGAAAGGGAAAAAAACCCTTGCAATTTTAGTAAAATGATAAAAAAATAATCACTTTGCTAAACTTAACTAATGGTAAAATAGCAATCCTCTAGAAAGTAAACCTTTAAATAAGTTATAGTTGTAGATCTAGCCACATAATAACAACCATTATTTGCTTGTTCTAATCCAATAAGATAATAACATTTGTATCTAATATATTTGAGCTAAAAGTCTAATGAACTAATCTTATTTAGCCATATCAACAATTATGGTTGTGTAACCCAAAAGAAATTGTTATAGCAAACATTGTCCAAGTTCTGCATAAGATGAAATCATGATCTCTCTATAAGTGCTAATGAATCCTCATTTAAGTTTATTCACATTCTTAGGATTCCCATATCATGTGATAATTTCTAGTCATTCCATTCCTATACTTGGTATTAGATTCATGTGCTTGGCTTCAAAATGGGATTGCACCACATTAGTGTCCTATGTCCATTGGTACTAGTGCTAATGAATCTTCAAAACTATATATCAGGTTGGGAGGGATGAGTTGTGTTTAGAAAAATGGAATCCAAGGCCTCAGTGTGAATATCCAAGAAAGTCCAAGTGCAAGCCCAAGATAATGTTAAATAGGATTATGATTACCATCCAAAGAATTAACTTAATTGAATCAGATGATGTTACCAACTTCACCCTGAGTTAAAAGCATTACGAGGGCACAAGTGACCACTTAACCAATGAAAGTTTTGTAGGTGCAATTGATAGTTATAAAATTGTTGCATGTCTTCTGCTAAGGTAAATGGGTTTTGCCTATGGTGATGGATAAAATCAATCATATTGTGATACCTATTTGCTTTACAAGTTTGTTAAATAAGTTGTTGGCAGAATTAAACCTTGAACCTGAATGGGTGTTTAGTCGAGTTGGTGATGAGTATTGTGTTGAATTATCATTTATTGTCAATGGAGAGGAATGGAAATTTAATGAGGATCCCAACGTTTCAATTAATGAATCTCAACAGTCTACCTCAAAGAGTGCAGTTGAGAGAATTAAATAGGAATATCACAGACATTGAAGATGCAAACTTCATAGACTAAAGAAACCATCATTTGCTTCCCTACAAACTTTAATTACAGGGACATGACTGATAGAAGTATTTCTCCCCCTATGTATTTTCCTTCTTGAGAGCTGAGATATTGTAGATTGTAATAAATATTTCATGTAACATGTATAAAATAATACATAAAGACAGGTAGGTAAAATGATAATCACTTTTTTACCTTGGGAGTAATAGCCAAAGGAAGGGTAAAATAGTGGGTTGTTCAATGCCTAGAAGTGCTATGCCTTTAGCAGGAAAGGTAGGGGAATAAGGGCAGGAGGTTGAGGATTTATCTAGCTGATGTGATTTGCAGCAGTAGGGCAAAAGCCGCAAAACCATTGGAGGGTTTAAAGGTTAGCTTGCTTCTGTAATTCACAATAGCAAAACCAAAACCAAGGGGAATTGAGATGACTTTAGGTTTATTATAAGATTGATGAGAGAGGGTCTTACAAAGTTGAGTTATGAACCATTCAAAAGTTCAACTTCAAATTTGATATATGTACATAAATTGTAGTCAAAAAACATCTTTCTTATGAGAATTCAGTTGAGTGTGATCTACAAGTTTTTTTTTTCTTTTTTGCCCCTCTTTTTGTTTAAGATTCCCATTCATTTTTGCAAGATTGTCATCTTGATTTTGGTGTTCTTTAACAATTGATACAGGTGAAAAAACATATAAGAGGAACAACAAAAGAAGAGTGAGGGGAAGAGAAATAAACAATAACTAATTTCTTGGTTACTGTAACATTTAATAACCTTTTATACTTTTATGATACATCCCATTTATGTTGCCTAAAACAGTGTAATGAGTTAATATGTTTTCATGTAACAAGACAAGGGAGAAGCCTATACATGGATTTTACAGTGTATCGAATGTCTTTTTTCTCCTGTATTGCTAAGTATACATGCATGCATTTGAAATGAAGTAAGCATGGTGTCCAATTAAATTTCATATATTATACAAAATTTGCATCCAACTATTAGACTGATGATATAATCATTTTTATCTTTCCTTATTCTGCCATCACCATTACAAGTTGAAACCTTATGTTTCCTCTTTCCTAATGCATCTTCCAAGTAGACCTGTTCATGGGCCGAGTGGCCCGACGGTCCGGCCCGGCCCGACCCAATCCCTAAACAGGATTAACCTCGGACCAAAAAGCCCAGCCCGCATAAAATTCGAACCAGGCTTGGACTTTGCCAAAATAGCCCGGCCCATACCCGACCCGACCTATAGTTAAACCTAAATAAACCCGGCCCAACCTATAATTAAACCTAAATAAAAACCCTATGTGATGTCTAATTTTTTGATTTGAGAAAATTGTTGATTCACTTGTAAGCCATTGTTCATTTAAATAGGGAAAAAAAAACATCTGAATTAAAATAGATAATGTCTATTTGAATAGGGAAAATTTTGAATTTCTTTTATTAGGTCGGGCTCCGGGTTTGAACTTGAACTTCGGACTTTTTATCAAAACCGGGCTTGAGCCCAAGTTATAGGCCCGTTGATCGGGCCGGGCTCAAACTTGGGCCTAACATTTTTCTGTTAATAAAGAGTCAAAACCCAGCCCGGCCCATGAACAGGTCTACTTCCAAGAAATTGCCTTCTCTCTAACGATTTGGTAAGCAGCTTTTATACCCCCATTCAATTCCTCTACACTGTATAGACTAATTAAAATTATAAAGTTCACAATTTTATATTTTTATTTAGGCTAACTAAAATAATCGAGTGATGGCCCCTGCCCCTCCGCTAGTTTTGTTGTTAAATAAATAAATAAATAAAAAATCTTCTTGCTTTAGATTTTATATGAGGGCTAGGCTCAAGCTCAAGATGTAGACTCAATGGTCGGACCGGACTTGAGCTCGGGCTTAAACAAATTCTCCTAGTGCCCATTTAGAAAGGCTTTCAGGATGCGACTTGACGTTCCGATCTGAACCCCACAAGACTACAAGAGAATGCAAGAAAGGTGTGTTTAGTGAAAATCTAGAAAGCCGATGATCACTAACGGTTGTTATTTTGATAATAAACTTCGTCTGGTTACAACAAACAAAGCGCCATGACAATAAAACCACTTACATCTCATTCTAAAGACACGTACGTGATTATGTATTTTACAATATATACTTACTCTTAGCATTATTACTCTGTCATCTCTACCTCCCCAACCCACCCACAAGAGGAAAAAGGACAACCAGCTTTCAGTGTACTCACTGGGGATTGGGAGGTCGGCTGTTTGCAGAACTAACTCGGGTACCCCACTCCAAAAGCTCCTTGCTAGTATCGTCCTTGTGCACAAGGATTTCAATGAAACACAAGGAATCTTGTTTGGCTCCTGTAGCTGTTGAAATCGCCTCTGTCAGCTCATCCTCTGTCCGGACCTGGATTTCAATTATCAAATCCACAAATCTACTTCTAAGTAGTGGGAATGGTTAATGATAAAACAAGCAATTATGCATTATTGTTGGCATAGCAGAGAAACCAGGTCAACCAAAAAAAAAACACTCAAACTGATCAATTTGGTATCAAGTCAATCCAGTTTCTTAGCTATAGCAACTGAAAGATGTTCATAGATGAGGTATGGACCACATCATTTCTGTTTCATGCATTTTGGTAAGAGAAATAAAATAGATGCTCAACATTTCTCTTTTCATGCTCACCTTGGCAGTCCAACATTTTCCTTCACCATCATGGATTGCATCCACAAGCCCAGTGTAGTCCCAGTTCTTGATTACATTGTAGGGGCCATCATGAATCTCCACTTCTATTGTATATCCTCCATTGTTGATGAGGAATATAATGCTCCTTTGACCACAACGGATCATTGTTGAAATATCCTGAGCTGTTACCTGAAGAATCAGAGACAGAGAATTGATTAGGTCCACAAGGCACTAAACCTGTTAGATCTACATATAAATCTATCTTATCTAGATCCAGCATGGAAGGATCATGTTATGACATAAAATGGGCACAGTGACAAACCTGGAAACTTCCATCACCAATGCAAGCAATCACACGCTTGTCTTGAGCAGCCTGGGCATACCCAAGTGTTGCACCCACTGACCAACCAATGGATCCATACTGCATTTGGAATTCATATCTGCATAAAAGTTGCTATTATATTTAATTTCTGGATGAAAAATGGGCAGAAACATTTAGATATCCCCATGCGTTACCCGCAATTTTCTGGAAGATGGAGCTTCTGGCAGTTGAACCACGAGTCCCCTGTATCAGCAATAACTGCAGTGTCTCCACTCAGCATATTCTGTTTAATGATTTGGGCTCCTCAGATAAACGTATATATTTCAAATGGCGGTACAAGAAAAATGTTTCAGAACAAACAGTGAGACGGCGTAAGTCATCAATTATCCATTCTTTTTATACTACGAAACCCACAAAAGGGTCCCCAGCAAAAAATGGTAACATCTGTTCTTTGAATATATGCCACATGCATGATAATGCTATTTAGATCTTAATAACACTCTAAAAGACAGAGTTAACCATACTCTCACTTAATCAACAAGGGGAATGGGATAAAATTTTAGATTGTCTTTGTGACTTGCCTGAATGTATTTGAAGAGTATGTTAACTCTCAGAGGTTCATCTTGATTGTGCTTGACAGGCATGCCTGGAGGAACAAAGATCCGGTGGTAATTCTCCATTGCTGTGGTATTTTTCTTCAGCTTCTTGGCCAGTCCAGTCAAGAATTCAGCCATGAAAACCCAACCAAAGGAAGGTCCATTACCAATAGTTACACGATTGGGCTGAACTACTACTGCTTTCTCCTTCTTGATCAGCAAAGAGTAGCCCACGGAGCTGTAGTCATTGAATATGGGGCCAACAAAAATATAGGCATCAGCAGACTCCACTATCTCACTGCAGAAGCCAGTGCTGATAGCACCCCAGTATGTTCCAATGAAGTGTGGGTGGTGCTCTGGCACCAACCCCTTGCCTGATGGCATAACTGCAATAGCATACCCACATGCATCAGCTAGCTCCACAAAGGCTTTTTGTGCCTTGGACACCCTTAGCTTGGGTCCACCCACAATGACAGGCTTCACAGCTTTATTCAGAAAATCAGCTGTTGCCTCGACTGCTGCTTCCAACCCCATTTGATTGCTCGTCCTGCACTCAAGTAGGTTCGATCATCATGAAAATCAATGACCTCACTTCATCTATTTATTGAGAATAAAAAAGCTTATGGTTCCAAGAAAGGAAGAGCATTTAATATTGTATTGAAGTTTAGGCCAGAGAATGGCGTCTATGAATCTTACTTGTTAGCCACAACATATTCTTGATTGGATGAAAATAGCAGCACCATCACAGGAAAAACTTTTTAGGTTCGCAAATATCATTCCTTAGTTGATCTAACATATTGAGGACAGGTAATTAAGGAGACAGGAACATAAAGTGTTTTCACTCAGGCTTCATTTATTTTAGTGTAAAAGGGCCGAAAAAATTGGCATGATTGATCTTCCCAACTAGTCAAACTATGTCATCTTCTGAAACAATTAATATTTCAGGGCAAAGTAACAAGAGTTATTTAGAGGAAAAAATAGTAAAACACCCATGAAATTTGGGGTTTATGAAGTCACTATTCAATTTAAAGGAGAAGTGATCTAGTTTTTGGTTCTTGAACAAAGGTTAACCAACACACTTGTACCATACAAAACGTCAAACAAGTTGAACTCATTAGAGGGGGCTTCACTTTATCTAACACCCCGTTCAGTTCATCTCACAGGAAACGTGAATTGCAGAATTGGGAAAGAAAAGAAGAAATCTAGAGAGGGGGAACCATACCATGGTGCGAGAAAGAAAGGAACAGGCTCCCTAGCAAACGTCGGGTGAGGAATTGCTGGCAAATTGCAGCTGATGCTAATGTAAACCGGCTTACTTTCCTTCAAAGCAGTCGAAATTGCGGTGTCGATCTGCTCGTGTGCATCCTCCAAGTTATTCACCACTGCCTGTTCCAGACATAACCATCGCCATAACAACAACATTAAATAAACAAACAAACAAACAAACCATTTCTTCAATTTCAAAGAATTTTCAAAATATATATATAAAAGAAGAAAATCACTACCCACTAGGATCCTACATAAACCAACGTGGGTAGTCTTCTTAACAAAATTATAAATTAACTAACATTATTAATTATAGCAACTTAGAAAACTTTAATAAAATCAAGTAATGACAGTTCTGTAATCCATGGCGGGTGGAACAGTAATTTGCCTGATGACATGTGACCGTCTGAAAGCACCGAATCTCCTGGCTGAAATCCGGCAATCCGATCGTATGGTGTAGAATGCGGTTCGTACCATAATCGTTGGAATTGGGCCCACCAACGATGCAAATAACAGGGAGGTTCTCACTGTAAGCACCGGCAACGGCGTTGAGGACGCTGAGCCCACCAACAGTGAAGGTGACGACGCAAGCACCAACTCCCTTGGCACGGGCGTATCCATCTGCAGCGTATCCAGCGTTGAGCTCGTTGCAGCAGCCGATGAGGCTGAGCTCCGGTTCAGCGACGAGGTGGTCGAGCAGCGTCAGGTTGAAGTCACCCGGCACAGAGAACACGTCATGGATGCCGATTTGGACCAGCCGACGAGCTAGGTGACGGCCGAGGGTGCCACTGGAAGAGCTACCCCGCACAGCAGGTTGGTTGGTGCTGGGATTCCCTGTAGCGCCGACTTGACTCTGGTTTTCCATTTTTGTTTCTGGATTTCCCACGAAAGAGTCCCAAACTGTGAATCAAACAAAACTAAGCTTAGGATGGTGAAGAGGCGATCATGGAGCTCTACCACCGCCATACTTAAGAAAAGGGAGAGTGCAAGGTGGGAAAGCAGACATGAAGCAACGTGTGAAGAGATGTGAGAGTAATCATGGAGAGCAGGGGTTGATTGATTCCATGATTCCCATGTAGAGATACACAGTGTTTTGATTTGATAACTTTCTATAGGTTTTGTTTCCTTCTTGTGTGCTGGAGCCTGGAGGGTTGCACTGTGTCTTAGAATTGGAGACCACTTGACGGAGAAGAGAGGCTATACTGGATTAAGACGACAATGAGACAAAAACGATTAATCCAGACCGTCCAAATTCTAGGCCCTGCTATCCCTTTTATAAATCTCATGAAAAAATCTACCTTATCCTTTTACACTTGGCATGAAGGAAGATTGCATGATGCATGCAAGAGGCCAGGAAGTGTAAGGTTATTTAGAAAAATATTTTTTATTTGAGGGTATATGCAGAATTCAGGTATATCTTCGGGAAAATTCCGATTAGACGATTAGTACGTTGTACTCAGGGTCTAGTGCTATTTTGGTATCAAAATAATTCAGTATCCGAATTTAGAATGTATCAATTCAGTATCACGTTGACATAAAATGAACGGTCTCAAATCCTTGATTAGGGCAATCTGGTGAAATTGATTTTATTAATAAAATTAATATTCTACATGATTTCCATTTAAAATAACAAAAAATAATAGTATATAATAAAGATTAATAATTAACAAAATTATACCATTTAATTTTACATTAAATTTTATTAATCTAAAATTAATTTAAATTCCATTTAAAACATAACAAAGTTTTAGTAATATGTAATAAAATTAAGAAAATTTAATACAATTTTAATATTAAATTTGAATTTTTATTAAATTTAGGAACTAATTGGTAATAACTAATAGAAATTAATAAAAATCTATATAAATTTCATTCGATCGTCCAAGTGGAATGGATCAGACCATGACATGTCAGCTATAAATATATATTATATTTGATATATATATTAACATTTTTATTTTAGTTTTTGATATTTTATTTGTAAAAAATGTATAAACTTGAGATTTGAGACCAAAGAGGGGTTTTCATGAAAATAGCAAGGATTGTGCTTTGATACAACCTACTATGACTCAATGATTGGATTAAATGGATCAATTCAACCGCCTATGTCAAATGATATCAAAGGACAGGTTTTAGGAGAACCACATCTAGAAACATGATCAGATGATGGTTTGAATAGTTCAATTTAAAAATTAACGAAATCTAGAGAAATAACAATAATATTTTGCACCAGTCTAAGTCTTTGACTAGGGATGCTTGAGCTTTATCCATATATTACGCCTATCATATATGTATCCACATCGTTGATTTTCGATCTCAATTATTTCAAATTTGGATGATGTATTTATGTAATTGGATCAGATCTGAATATTATAATTTATATTAAATTAATAATCAGATTGTATTTGAATTTGACTCTATCCGATTCTATTAAAATCCAAATCCAATTATTTCATTATATGTATCAATTTTAACATATAAATTTTATATAATTATATTTGAAGTTATAAAAATATGTTCTATATATTATATTATATATGAATATATATATATATATCTAATAAATTTAGTATGCTATATTTATATTAATTTATTATATATAAAGTTGAAAATTAAATACATTTTTAATTTTTTTAATATTTTAAAAAATTTATAATGGAATCAGATAAAATCTGAATCTGATCTGAGTCCGTTAAGATTCAAATTCGAATCCAAATCCAAATCTTTAAACCTAATCGAATTTAAATATAAATTCTCGGTAATCAAAACATATCTGAATTTTGCTGCATCCAATCCAAATCCGATCCAACTACAGTCCTGAATGATAGCTAGGGGTTTAAACTTGGATTGTCCGAATGGAAGAACTTCAATGACATAGATTAGAGTTTGGGCCCATTCAAATTCCACACAAATGCTCGATCCAACCCAATTCAAGCTGCATTCATTCTACTTGGAAAGAAAATTATCTATGCATTATGTTTTAGGTTTATAGAATCATAACTCCTGATTCTAGTCGTCCAGCTTCATTTGGCCCAACCCAAGTTAAATTGGCCCAACCCAAGTGGATGATCCGATGAGAAAGTATTAGATCTCAATATTTTTGAAATGGATTTTTGGCTCTGATAATTCTTAAACCTTGTGAAAAGGCTAATTTCAAACTTAAAGAATAAAAAGGTCATTATCGACCCCAGATTTTGATAAAAGAAAAAGTCATTTTTAGGCGAAAACAGACGGCAGTTGTAAATTCATTAGACAACATTATGTGGCACTGCTAAAGTTTGACAAAAGCTACTTTCGACCCTAAAGTATGAAAATGGGCCACTTTAATAAAGTTAGTCAAGTAAATTACTTCAAGGTATAATTAAATGACCCTAAAGTTAATTTACTTGATTAAGTAAATTAAAAATTACACTAATCAAGATGGTTAAGTAAATTAAGTAATTAAATAAGTAAATTAAATTAATTAAGGAAATAAAGTTAATTAGTTAAGTTTAATAAATAAAATTAATTGATCTAAATAAGTAAATTAAGCCAACTAAGCAAGGTTTTAAAAACCAACTCAAAATGGAACCACTTTAGTCACCGGTTTCTAAGTTAATGGTTCGATTGTTTGGTCTGAATGGATCATCACATGATGTTTTGAAAAATAAAAATAAAATATAATTAAAATAAAAAATTTCATAGAAATATGTTCTGGATCAATCAGTTTAGTGGTTCAACCATTTTGGGTCAGTAGTTTGTTGACTAAGTTAAAGAATTTCAAGAAATGGTCAATTGTCCAATTCCATTTTATACTTGGCCCATAAGTTTTTTAAAATACATGACTTAGTTAACAAACTTGTCCTAGACAGTTGAATTGGTAAATTGTTTTATATATATATAATTTTTTAATTATATATAATCTTTATTTTTTAAAATGTCATGGGTTGATCCATTTGTACCAAATGGCCAAATTGTTGACCTAGAAACTAGTGGCCAAAGTGGTTCTATTTTGGGTTGGTTTTTAAATTACCTTGTTTAATTGGCTTAATTTGCTTATTTAGATTGATTAGCTTTGTTTGTTTAATTTAATTAATTAACTTTTGTCTCCTTAATTAATTTAATTTACTGATTTAATTGCTTAATTTACTTAATTATCTTAATTAAAGTAATTTATTTAGTCTAATTAACTTAATTAAACAAATTAAATACTTTATGGTCATGTAATTAATCAACATTATTAATTAATTAATTAAATTAAAACTTAATTATACTTTAGGGTCATTTAATTAGACACTGAAATAATTTACTTAATTAACTTAATTAAAGTGGCCCATTTTTAAATTTTAGGTCAAAAGTGGCCTTTTTCAAACTTTAACAATGCCATATAACATTGTCTAAGGGATCTGTAAACACCGTTTCAAACGCTTTGTGCCTATAAATAGCCTTTTATCAAAGGTTAAGGGTCGAATATGACCATTTTCATTCTTTAGGGTTGAAATTGGCCTTTTACAAAATTCAGGGTTTTGTAGAGCCGAAAACTCTTTCTTAAATGTTCAATGGTACTTTCCAATAAGCTTGAGGCTTGTTCACCTTGGGAGATTGAAGCCCTCGCATTACTAGAAGCTCTTGAATTGGTTTCTAGTCTCCAGCTCCATCATGTTTTTCCTTGAAAGGGATGCTCATATTGTCATTCATTCCCCGTTGGAGGGAAGAAGTTCGACGACCTCCTTGGTGCATCTCCAATGTAATTGCTGACTGGGGGGAATTTTTTGGTAGCATTCCCTATTGTTCAATCTCATGGTTTTTAAAACTGACCTGGATACCGAATTGGTCAGGGGTCCATCCTGTTACCGGGTCGAACAATCTGATGGTTCGAACCAAACAGTCAGTCCGTTCTAACAAAAAAATTAAAAAAAAAAGTAAAAAACAGTTAAGATCATTTAAACGATTCAAAGGTTAATCGCCCGATTCAGTGGTATGCTGACCAAAATAAAAAAAATCCGATTTTAAAGGGAAACAGAACCAATCACCTGACCAGTTCCCGATTTTTCCGATCCAATCCGATTTTAAAAACTGGGCTCAATCTCTTCTTTTCCAACATCATGTAATGTTGTTGCACATTGAATTGCAAGAAGAGCACTTACTCATCTCATGTCACTACATGGTCTTACCCCTCCTGACTTCATGCGGGAGGCTTTGAACTCAGATTGTGAATTAAGCAATGATTATTTGTTTTTGCCTTTGGCGTAAAAAAAAATGCTTGTGCGCCATCAAAACTTAAGATACGCTCAACCCAAGCTGCCGAAGTTGAACCTTTATTTAGGGTTTTTGCTTTGGGCAACCAATCCAACATTCCAACCTGAAACCGATGTGTTTTTGTCGTAAAGTTTGCAATTATATATTCAATATTCTCATACATGTATTGAGAGTGGGAGAAAAGAGGATGGTAATGAAGAGTGGTTTATTGTAAAAACATATAGTATCCCTTTATTAGTTCTGGTCACCGGAAAATGATGAATCCGGTGACTAGTAGTTCCAATAGGTCGAGTGTCGGAATCTTGTTATAAAACATTAGTTGATGTATGTCTTATTTTCATAAACATTATGTGTTTACATTAAAATGATATAATGTCCGCATGTTTTGTAAATTTGATAGATAAAGTTCAATTCTGAACCCAACTAGCCTAGGCCGATCATAATGGAACTGGGTCAGGGTTGAAAAATCCCGGCTGGAGATTGAATTAGGTTAGCTTTAAGGGTAATGATTTTAATGCATCAGATCAGGTTAGGTTAAGGTTTGATCTCAATCCGAGCCAAGCCTAATTTGCAGTCATGGTTCAAAGTATCGACACGTATTGGACTGTATTGGTCGATACATATCGTTCTGGCACCCCACCGATATGCTCCTACAGTGGGTGTACTAGTGGTCTGATCGGTTCAAGGTATGACGAAGACCTAAACCGGTTCCCCTGAACCAGTTGGCGAAAAAAAATTCACTTAAAGGAGTATCAATTCGTCCGATATGCCCATACCGGCGTATTGGGCGTATCGATATTTTGAACCTTGGTTGCAGTGTTGCACCGAACGTAAAATTACTAGGTTTAACATTCTATCTAAAGCTGAATTTGGATTGTGTAGGGGCTGTATCTATATTGGATCCGATTAAAAAGGG